TTAATCACAAATGAATGAAATTATTTTTCGAATATTTTGTTTTTAGAAAATTTTGGTAAAAGATATTTTTTTTTAAATATGTTACCCCCCACTTAGTTAATTTCATGAAATTTCGCCCAAAACCTTTTTGGCTCCTCAATTTTATTTTTTTGTTAAAAGGAGTCGTCTTTGGAGATGGTAAATAACCTACTTTTCTTTCACAAATTTGAGCTACTTAACTGAAAATTTTGTCTGAATTGAAAAATAATGAATCAATAAAACTATGATATTACTTAATTAGAAAAGCTTTTAATTGCTTTTGTAAATAAGTAATATTAAGAACGTTATTGTCTGAAAAAATAATTTTTTCTGATGAATAATTAATTTTTACAAGAATTCTTTCGTTTTTTAAGAAATTTTAATTATAATAATTTATAATAGTTTAACATCGTGTAAAGCTCTGTATTAGGAGGGCTCCTCAATATTATGTAGTTATTAAGTAGAAAAAAAAATTACGAATCCAAAATTGCTAAGTTTAATAAATTTAGTTGAGCTACTTTTTTTAAAAATAATTTTTTATGTTGTATTTTTTTACTTAATACATTCCTTATTTCCATGTATGATATACAGAAATTGCCATTATTATAACAAGGTCACGTGATCTAAGGGTTTTGTCCCTTTACGTGGCCTTTTCAAAACATTTCGTTTCTTATAAGTCGTATTTTCCGTTCAAAAGTGTAAACTTTAAATTATTTTTTCTTTTTTTCATTTACTATTTCACTAAATAATTTTATTTTTATGTATTGTGTCATACTCAAATAGAATATTTTTTTTTAAAACTCAGACTTAAAAATTATGTCATTTATGGTCATCAGTAGTAGTTGTCATCGGCTCGTCAATCAATCATTATCAATAAGATCGAACAGATGAACGGGACCGCTCGTTAATAATTGGTTGTATATTATTTTTTATGCTATAAGTAACAAAGATTTCTTTGAAATCAGATTACTTTAACTTTAAATTTTTAATTTTACTAAAATAACGTGTCAGAATTTTTTTAAATATTTTAAAAATCGATAAATTTGTGTTTGTTTACAAATTTCTTAAAATTAAGAAAATGGCCGTTTTAAGAAAATTAAAAATTTGAAATTAAATTTGACAATCAAATGTATATAGTTTCTATCTGAAATACACCAGAATTGTTTAATTAATAGAAATCGTAAATTTAGTTATTAAATTTTCAATTAAAGCTAAAATGAAATCTTCAAGAATGTTTTTTCATTGTAAAAAATTCATTTTAAACTTAGGTATCGAAAATTTATGCCGAAATAGTGGAGGTACTTAATATATATATATATGTATGTATGTATGTGTGTGTGTATTCCGAAAATAATAGTGTATTTAAACAACTGTAGATAACTTTTAAAATTCGATTGCATGTTTGGAATATGACAGTGTATATTACTATTAAATGACTGATAAACAGTAGAGAATACCTATATTTTAGGCAATTTTTGTAACTTTCGAGTATATTAAACCTTCTCCTTTTATAAATTTTGCACTTTTTAGTACTTTAAATAATTTTCTGACATTTTCACCATTCACCGCATATTTCCACCTTTAATTATTTAAAAAAACACCCCTGTATTAAGTTACTAAGAGTACATTTTGCCGAAGAGAAAAAATAGAAAAATAATGAAATTTATGCTTTTTGTCATCATTTTAAAAATAGTCTATATGTTAATTAATTAACAAATATTGAGTGATTATCATCTGTCTATATTTCTGAGATGAGGTATTATGTACACTATTTACATTATTCGAACTATTGTCTTCATCTTTGTCGCCATATTTATTACAACTTTTAGGCCGTTGTACGCCCGGCCTTCTTCAGGTGGTTGGAATGTCGAACTGAACCCTTTATCGCTCACTGGGGTAGACTGTTCTAGTTTCAAGTGCCATGTTTAATGGATGTCAGTTATCAGTTATCTTCTGTTAATTCCCCTCTGAAAGTTCTCCCCTGCCTTAACCGGGTATTGAACTCACACTCTTTGGGTCCTGTCACTAGATCTAACTAAAGCCTTTATCCACTGTGCCATGTGTCCTTGGGGACATAAACATGGCGACAAAGATGAGGACAATAGTCCGAATAATGTAAATAGTGTAAGTTATTATTGTTATCCAATAGAAGCAATCTCTGAATGTCGTTTACAAGGCTATGAATGAAATTCACTGAGAAAAACGTTATCAGGTAAAGATGTAAAGTGATGATCAAAAACGCTTCATTTTTCAGTATCTAACTTAAAATAATTTTAATATTGGTATGCAATCTGTGTGTTCTCTATTGAATATCAGGAAGAAAGAATTCTTCAGAAGAACTTAATGCAAACCTTGAACGTGTGCTAGGGGTAGTTTCGCACAACACCGCAAGATGCTACAAAACCAAAATATTAACCTAAAAACACGAGTTATGTCCTTAAATTGCCTCGTCGGATCGAAATTTACAAATGGATGTCAAGCATGGACCTACTTCGTTCAAAAATATATACTGACATCTCCATACAACCGTTTCATCTGGTCAAGGATTTAAAATGTCTTCGAGCAAATAAAGCTTTAAGTTTTAGCGAGGACCATTTTTATTCGAAACTTGTGAACTGGCGCTACATAATCACAAACAAAGAATTGTATCAAATAACAGAAACCATATCAATTGAGGACTTTCAACAGCAGCAACAACTAAAATGGATACCACATGTAACTTGGACATAAAATAATCAAGATGTTAACGTTCTTCACTTCTTCGAACAAAAAGCTAGGAATTAAACTCTCATCAGCATTGGAAAGAGCAATAACAGTAAGTGAACTTGAGTAACCGATTTTCTTGAAAAATTGTTTTCATATAAAGATTTTATAAATTTCAACATATAGTATCACTGGTGGGATACAGCTAATATAGAAATAATTATATATATTCAAGAAATATTATGGAACTTTATTTTTGTCCTTTCTATAAAGTTACCCAATTGCACGATTGAATGAAAATCACTCTCGATGCTAATGTAATCATTTTCAGTTAAGGCTCAAGGTATATAGATGATCGGATGTTAATTGACATCAATAGTGCGCTATTTGGAGAGTAAATTTAAAATCATTAGTGCCACGAAGTACGTGGTGGGAGTTACGGTTCAAGTTCGAAGGAATTGTTTTACAAGAGCATCGAAAGCGTTTCAGTAGAATAAGTTATGTCCAATCCACGTTGCGAACAGTTCATTTGAACCTTCTCCAGATGTATAGAAACAAGTGACTAAATCAGTGATTTTCAACCGTCTGTGCCGCGATCCTCTTAAGTGTGCCGCGATCCTCTTAAGTGTGCCGCGAAAGTATGAATGGATTCGAAATCCTTTCATAAATGTTCCTTCAAATATAGGACTTCAGTTATGTGAAGAAGAAGAATTGTCACCATTTTTGGTGATCGAAGGCTCAAAATAAAACATTCGCGGTTACCATTGATACATTTTGGATTTCAGCACAAAACGAATATCCTACAGTATCTGTCTATATTTCTGAGATGAGGTATTATGTACACTATTTACATTACTCGGACTATTGTTCTCGTCTTTGTCGCCATATTTATTACAACGTTTCGGCCGTTGTACGCCCCGGCCTTCTTCAGGTGATTGGAATGTCGAACTTAACCCTTTATTTCGCTCACTGGGGTAGACTGCTCTAGTTCCACGTGCCATGTCTAATGGATGTCAGTTATCTCCTGTTAATTCCCCTCTCCAAGTTCTCCACCGCCTTTACCAGGTATTGAACTCGCACTCTTTGGGTCCCACATTAGCTAAAAAGGCTTTGTCGGTTTTATTGCAATTTTCTTATTTATGTGAATTCTCAATTCTAAATAGCATCAAGATTAACAAACGAAAAAGACTACGCTCATCTGAAGCATTAATAAGAGTCTGCTTATTGCACATTCGGCCAAACATTGAAGAAACCTCAGACACAGGTTTCACACTAAATAAAATTCGCAAATAGTTGAATAGAAACATTGAAATAAAGTAAGTTCCTATTTGTGTGTGTATTTTTAAAAATAATCTATAGTATTATTATATAACATTTAACTTTAAAAAAATTGTGCTGTGATATTTTCATTTGCGCTAAGGTGTGCCGTTGCTTAAAAACGTCTAGAAACACTAAAATAAATGAACTGAAGGGCACATATGTTACAGATTATCCAAGTTTAATCATCACGTATAATAAAACCGTTGGTAAGAAAAGCAGGACTTGCCCATCTGTTCATAACTATTTTCCTTTTATCTTTGTTTTATTGTCGCCGTTTCTCATGTAACCGTTTCGTTCTGATATTTCCGACACTGTAAACTGTAATGTCTCACCCTCTTCTTGATTTTCCCCACAACAACTTTTCTTGTATTCTTTTCTGGCCCTTTAAATATATATATATATATATATATATATATATATATATATATATATATATATATATATATTTTCTAGTTATACATTTTTCTGATTTGTTCTCATTTTCTCACTGCCATCTTCCATCATTTCCTTTCTTCCGACCTACCCAGCCAGTCTCTTTGGGAGCAAAAAAACCCAAAACAAATCAATGACAGAAACCAATTAAGCTGATTGGACGTTTATATGCAGCTGTCCGTCGTAATAATCACCTGGGCCGAAGTCTGTGTCCGCAGATTGTACCTGCTAGGTGAGCTGGCCGTTTGTCATCAGGTAGGCACGGTTCTAGTCTTGCCCACCCACCTACATCTTTTCCAGACGCTATTCTTTCATTTTATGTTTCTGTCTGTTTTTAATGGTTGTGCCTGGTCAGCGGTTTGGGAGTGAACATTGATATGAGTCATTTATTTGTACATGAGAATATTCAACAAATTGTTTACCCGCAATAAACAGAACAACCCCTCCCACTCCAAAAAAAAAAAATCAACAAAAAACTTATGGGTCGCTAATTTCATATCTCCTGTGTCTGTCCATATTTATCTGAGTCGCTTTCGATCTATCTATCTATCTATCTATCTTTATCTATTTCATCTATTCATATTTATCTAAGTCTGTTCATATTTATCTATCTATCTATCTATCTATCTATCTATCTATCTATCTATCTATCTATTTCAGTCTATTCATATTTATCTAAATCTGTTCATATCTATCTATCTATTTTCTATCTATCTATCTATCTATCTCAATGTGTTCACATCTACCAATCTAATTTTGTTTCTATCAATCTATCGATCTTATTTTCGTATCTATCTATCTATCTATCTATCTATCTATCTATCTATCTATCTATCTCAGTCTGTTCATATTTATCTAAGTCTGTTCATATCTATCTATCTATCTATCTATCTATCTATCTCAATGTGTTCATATCTACCAACCTAATTTTAATTCTATCAATCTATCGATCGTATTTTATACATATCTATCTATCTATCTATCTATCTATCTATCTATCTATCTATCTATCTCAATGTGTTCATATCTACCAATCTAATTTTGTTTCTATCAATCTATCGATCTTATTTTATTCATATCTATCTATCTATCTATCTATCTATCTATCTATCTATCTATCTATCTATCTATCTATCTATCTATCTATCTCAGTCCGTTCATATCTATCTATCTCAGTCAGTTCATATTGGTCATATCTGTCTGTATATATCTACCCAAATTTCATATGTATGTAAAAATTTCTCAGAATTAAACTGTAGAAAAGGACAATATGTATAAAGGAAAAAAGACAAGAAAACTGTGTAGATTTAGATTTTATACATTCTACACTCATAAAAAAGAAAATAATTCACTCAGAAAGAAAAATCCTCGAAAGTGCCGCCATTGAATATTATCCAAATATTAAACTACACCCCATCTTTTTCTCGATATCACCTTTCCTAACAGAACCACTACTCTCCCAAGCCAACGTACACAACAAATATATTAAGAAATAAAAAAGAAAACGGTTGAATCCGTAAACATAACAATACAAACAATATCTCTACATGTGAAAATATTCTCTTCAAACATAAAGTATTTGTAATTTTTCAGTTGACCCTATGAATATACAATAGAATTTCTGAATTCTTCTAGTTGCTAACATTTTGTTGTTTATAGATAGTTAGTTTCAATAACTTCCATTTCGTGCTTTGCCTTAAAAAGTTCACATTGGACAAAACGTGTCAGCTAAATTTACAATTTTCCTATTGTTTTTTTCTTTTATACATAGTTTTTTACAGGTTAATTCTGAGAAACTCATATCTATCTATCTCTATCTATCTATCTATCTATCTATCTATCTATCTATCTATCTATATATCTATCTATCTTCCCGATAGGTTATCATTTCTTAACTAGATTTTTCTGTTTTACTGATAAACACACATAGCAACACAAAACTATGCCAGTCGCCAACCCATCTTTAGATTCCATTTTTACAGTCCGTCGGAATAATCATTTTTACATTTAAACAACCTGGTACATTTATGTTGTATTTATTAGATCAATTGGCTGAAGTCCCTGTATTAGCTTACGAAAATAACACGAGCACATATGATGGACGAAAACTCTTGTTGAAGAATGAATGCAAGGTGTTGAATATATTTTTCTTTTATGTGTGTGTGTGGAGGTACTTAATCTCTTTCGTGAGTATTACTTTGACATTGAAAAAGAGATCGTATATCAGTGATGAGTTTGTAATTGAAAGGTAAAGTTTTGTTTGAAAAAGATTTAACGTTGTGTAAAAAGATCTAATATATATATAAAAATCAATTACTATAAAAGGGTTTATTTATTTAACTGAGTCCTCTGACTACTAAATATATATTTATTTCAAACATGTTTGGTTAAGTAATATTAAAAAGATTTGCCTATCAAATATTTTCTTTTTAGAAAATTTTAAAAATACCAGCATTCATTTTTTTATGTTATAAAAAACCGTATAATTGTTGTGTGTTTTAAAAAAAAAGATCGTTCAAATGACGTCACCTTCAGTGACTTGAAATTGGTTTAAAAAATAATCGTCAAAAACAAATAAAAATTAAAAAATAAATAGGAACTTTGAGAAATGTACCAATAAAATAAAACAACTAATTCGGAAACTAGAAAGAAATAATAAAAATGTTGTTAGACAGCGCTTATCGATGTTGTTCATCCAAACATGCTTGAAAAACACTATTTACATTATTCGGACTATTATCCTCATCGCCATCCTGAAAAATTCATTTCAGTTGAGCTCTCTGGGGAGGAAGTGTGTGTTTGTAAAAAAATGACTATTATGGCTCATAAAGCAAGACTCTTCGGTAAATCGAATCGAGTTCTCTCAGTCACTGTGTGTTTATCTAAAATATAAATACGCTTGAATTCACCTTCACTTGCCCTGAGCCAACGGCTTAGTGGTAGAATCCCCGACTGACGCCAATTCAGTCGGGTTTCAATCCTAGCTAGATGGAACCGGATGTCTAGCCACACTGATGAGCTGTGATACAGCGAAGCAGTCTGTCTGTGGACGGCAATATATATATATATATATATATATATATATATATATATATATATATATATATATATATAAATTCAAACATATATTGTTAAATATAACAGACAACGAATGTCTATTATGTTTGATCATGAGCCGTTCTAAGCTTCGTATAGTTGCTTTAATTTCGGGAGAAAATAAAATTACATTTCAAACTAGTCACAACACATTACATTGCATCTAGACATATGGTTCTGGTGTTAATATTTCGGTCTCTTGCGTGGCACGATGTCATAGAACAGTAACAGAATACCATCTTAGATGATGAATATCTTTGTTTAAATGTCCACATAACCACCCTGAAGATGGGTCATGTGAGCCGAAAGTTTAAATCTAGAAACAGCATAAAAATATCCAAATATTGGACAATTTTCGTTTTTATTTTCTCCCGAAATTAAAGCAACTATACGAAGCTTAGAATGGCTCATGATCAAACATAATAGATATTCGTTTTCGGTTATGCAAAACAATATGCCTGAATACAGATCTGCTGCCCCAATACACTATCTATCTATCTATCTATCTATCTATAAATAAAATAACTTCAAAGTATTGACTCAGTAATCTAAGTAATAACGTTAACATTTGTTTTTATGGCATTTTGAGGTTTATTAAGATAGAAAAAGTTGTTCACAACATTATTTAAATTATTGAGTCGCTTTTCAGAAAACTAATTTAGAAAATTCTTATTATATACAATAGCCCAGGCCACGAAAATGTTATTAATTATATATATAATTATTTATTTAAAAATATGATTCCAAAACGCGACATAAGAAGTCTCATGCTGGCTTTTCCCTGGGCCGGTCTCTTGGGCTCAGCCTTCTTTGTTAATATCGGTGGGGCACCCTTCCTCAGCCCGCACCACTTGGCCAGGTGACCTTTCTTACCACACCTGGTGCATCTGTCCTGATTGAAGTCTGGGGGCAACCCCCACTTCGTCGGACATTCCGCCGCCCTGTGGTCCTCGTACCCACAGGTCCAGCAGACCAGCCCGTATCGACCCGGCGTGGGCTTATAAAAGCCATGCCTGGTCGACCATGCCCTTCTATTGGGGTCCTCCTCCCATAATTCTGCCCGATCCACCTCTTCCTTAACCCTCTGATTCCACACGGGGTTCTTCCGCCTACCCCCTTTTTCCAGCCTCCTGACTTGGTATTTGCTTCTTCCCACACCTCTTCACTTTATCCCACACGCCCTGGCTCTCCCTGGCCAGCTCTATCTCTGCCGACAGTCTGAGCGGTCCTTCCTTCAGTACGTCGTGACGAACACGCTCGTCGCTCAGTGCCTCTACATACAGGTCCGCCAGTTGGGCCTGCATAACCGCATTATCCCTGACCACTTCGGGGAATGCCAACGACGATAGCTTCCCCGCTCGGGTCCCTAATTCTCCCGGGGTTTCATCCCGTAGCTGTGTCAGTTTTAAAAGGGCCCTCATGGCCTCTATGGCCGTACCTTCGTCGGCGAACTCTTTGACAAGCAGGGTTGATTTTCCAAGAGCCCCCTCACGAACTCAGACGCTTTTCCCTTTGTGGCATCGTATGCCAAATACAGGGTTTCTTGGTCCGAAAGCTCGTAGATGATTCGGCTCTTCTCAAGGATTGCCAGCCAGTTTTTAAACTCCTTCCCGCTGCCATCAAATACTGGGACCCTTCGGTCCACCCAACAGCTTCCTTAAATCCACTGACAACACCCGCCTTACTTCCTCTTCACCCCCCACTGCTCTATCCGAATCATAGTCTGACATGTCTACAGAGAAAGACAATCTATGCAGCAACAATCGAGGTTGGGAAATAAAATAAGGTGTCCTACCTTACAGACGATTCTGTTCTTTTCTTCTTTTGGTCCCGGGTCGTTCTGAGTTCTGTTTGAATTTTCAGCAACGGCGGTCGATCGTGGTCTTCTCAGGGTTGAAATCCCTCGGTCACGGCACCATATGTGACGGGTACACACCTGTCCCAGGGTCGAATCCCTTGGTCACGGCGCCAACTGTGACGTCGCTCCTCCTGGTCGCTCCTCCTGGTTCCAAGCGTGCCGCTCCAACCCCTTGGTTAGATGATCACCAGCCTCGCCTTTCCCAACTCGCTTCCAATACCTGGTTACTAAAGCAACTGTACTGATCTCCGGTCTGTCTACCCACGCTGTGTTTAGATCTTAGACAGACGGGACCAGCAGGGATTGGGGCCGATACAAGTTGAGTCCGACGGGGGTGGCAAAACACAAGTAAAAGAAAGAAAAAAAAAACTCACGAGACAAAAAATTACCGATAAAAAAGGGTGACAACCTTTTATATCTAATGTCCGTTACACAAAGAAAAATTGTTCTTATTTCCCGACCCGCTCTGTGGACTATGGCACCAAACTTCTATCATACAACTTAAAGATTTCGAATTGCCTACTCTTCAGAATTATGTATGTCGGAGTGTGGTCTAGTTCGACACTGGGGCTAATTTCTGTCAATCATTCGCAGTTGATTCTTCTCTTCGACTTGAGTTGTATTTCTTCACTTCGATCTGGTTGAGTCGAATTCTGTTCTCGGCTGGGCTTGATTTCAACTTCTTCTTCTTCTTCCGTCCAGTAACTCTTTGGCCTTGTCTTCGACTTGGCTGCAACTTCTCCGCGGCTTTCGAGTAATCTTCTTCTTCGTCGACTTAGATGGAACTTCTCTTGTCTTCGACTTGGGCTGGAAGGATTTCTTGCCGCAACTTAGCCGCAACTCTCTGTCGTCCGAGGTGTTCTCTTCTCGCTGCCGTCCGGGGCTGAACTGATTTTTGTCGATTGGGGTCCTGCTTTTATTGACGCCGCAGCAAACCGGGGTGGGTCTGTCGGCGTCAGGGCTCTCTCGATAATCCCAAAAGTCGCATTAGTTCTGATTTCCCATTATCGCTATTATTTTCACCCCTACTTCCTCACAGTGCCTCTGGGGAAGACGCATACCCATCTCTCCCGGTCCCTCGTATGTCAGGTGACCGTTTTTCGACCAATGGTTCCTGATCGAACATTCCTCCTCCTCTTTCCGCATGCCACGTGACCGTTTT